GTATAGCTCACCTGCAATCTAAGAGCACTCTGAACTCCACTAATGATGAACCTGGAACTAACTTGGCACACAGAACCCCATGACTAACAAAACATACCAGAGGTCTTTGGATGGACTTATAGTTGTAGTTCATCTACATCCAGAGCGCACTATAAACCCAATGATGGATCTGGACCAAACTTGACATGCATACCCGATAGGCCCAAATTTGATTAGTGGTGGGTTTTGAGAGGAATTGGCCTGGACATTTTGGAGTTGTAGGTACTGGGAGGTCTTTGGGGAAAATTCACCTTGATTTGGGGGAGTTGCAGTTCACCTACATCCAGAGAACACTGTGAGCCCAAACACTGATGGATCTGGACCAAACTTGGCATACAGCGCCCACATGACAAAATGAACCTGCTGGAGAGATTTGAGGGGACTGACTCACCATGATGGGAGTTGTAGTTTACCCTACTACCAGAGAGAACACTGAACCCAACCGATGATGCATCTAGAACAAACTTGCCCAACATAACAAACTTTAAGTACTGAAGAAGTTTCTCTGGGTTAACCTGGCATGAAGTGACTTGCAGTTTACCCACAACCTTATGCATTTTGTACACTTAAAAATGACTTTTTCAAATAACTTGGGCAATGCCAGGTACCCAAGCTAGTAGAAAAATAAAACCATCTTTTTCAATACCATGAGATCTCATCTCTTCTCTGCATCCATCAAATATTACAGTACTTTCCCGGAAGATATTCCAACAGTCCACAAATCTTTTCTGTTTAGGCCTAAGTCGAGGATGTGAAGAAGCTGTTCTTTATTTCCTTTGTAATGAGATAGATATTGATGAATTGATAGATGGATGACAGCTACGTAGAAAGATGATAGATGAACAAAAGATGATTGATGGATTACAGATAGATAGATAGATAGATAGATAGATAGATAGATAGATAGATAGATAGATAGATAGATAGATAGTAGACTGATGATAGATAATAACTAGCTAGAAGATAGATAGGTAGATAGATGATGGCTGTACAACAAATGATTGATAAGACAGCTGGTATATGGATGAGATAGCTAGCTAGCTAGATGATAGGAAGATAGATGATAGATGGATTGACAGATATAGCTAGAAGATAGATAGGTAGATGATAGATTGACAAGAGATGATAGAGGAATGAAAACTAGATGACAGATGGATACATTAACAATAGCTAGCTAGACAAACAGACAATAGATGTATGATTGATAAATGATAGCTAGAATGATAGTAACCGTGTTTTCTGTTGTTTTCTGTTGTGTGTGCGAATCCTCACAAAAAAAACTAAGCAGGCCAGAGATGGTCACTTTGAGTACCGTTTAAGACAGGAAAATAGGGTACAAAGGAGAAGAGAAACAAAGAAAAGAAAGAGGAAGAGAATGAGGAGAAAAAAGGAGGAAAGGAGGAAAAAGAGAAGGAGGAGGAGGAAGAGAAGAAGCCGTAGTCAGCCAGAAAAGTTGGTGTACACCACCATGAATTCAATGATGAAATAAATTCAAGATGGAAATAAAAGAGTGTACAAGTTCTTTCCAATAAGCCGATCTGTTTTCACTCTGAAAATCAACTCTTGCACACTGCCAAAAGGTGCTGAAAGACCATGCCCTCCAAAGTTTGCCTTCTTAAAAAGATAAACAGACACCGCAACTGATTCCTCTTTACAGGACACAATTTATTTGGCATTTGGATGTCATATCTCTCACAGCATCTCAAGAAAAATAAAAGATTAGTGTCACCTCGTCCCCACCTTCCTCCACCTCCTCTCACATTTCCTTTTTTAAAAAGAAAGAAGAAACATTAAAACATAAAATGTCACAGGGACTGAATTAATTACAGTATCAAATTTCATCTCTACATATTATTCCATGGAATATCAAAATCTTTACTCTTTTTTTATTGTACACGCACAGCTACAGTTCAGTTCAGTCACAAATCAATGACCCTGGGAGGGGGGCAAGCAGCGTCCACAGACACAACCCTGATTGAAAGTGTTCGGGGGGGGGGGGGGGGAGAGAAAGGTTTAAAAAAGTGAAGTCTTGTTGGTTGTCTTGCACAAGCACACAAACATACACACACAGACCTCCAAGCCATACAAAAATCCAGCATTCACTCCACAAAACTATGGAAACACCAACAAAACCTGGATGCAAGAAAGCTGCATGATGTCAAGTCAAATCATTGGTCCATCTAACTCCGTCCCATCTCCCTTGGCTCTTTCAGATGTTCTTGGAATACAGCATTGAGGTCCAAGACGAGTCAAGATGACCAAAGGGTAAGGACCATCGGTTGACTGGGGTGGGATGGAGAAGCTGTGACCAGATTTGTTTGAATTCCCATTTCCCAGACACCCTGTGGTGAAGGACAATGGGAACTGACCCTTCCCCTCATAATATACATGTAGGGTCATAAGCTCCTTGACCCTGATCTATGTTGACTGGCAACAGCTCTTATCAGGAGGCATCAAAATTCTAAACCTGGGCATTTTGATAGCCTTCACCACTCTTGGGTATCTCTGTACTGTTTCCTGGCAGTCAAGTGGATCACAATTATAATAATAATAAACTTTATTTTTAACCTGCCCTCTCTCCCTGAAGATCTGAACTGGATCTTCTAAGTGAAGAAATCACCCTGAGAGTGCAAAGGGACATAATCCATCTGGAAATTATCACTCTGATTAAGGTAATGTCATGATATCTATTACATGCTCTGAAAAAGTCTCCCTCTGTGCAGAATCCTGGCCACTGAGGATATACAGAATCAACATTTGGTAATGTGAAGTTCTGCTCTCTAAACCTAGGCCTTCTGGTTTCTTTTTTTTTTTATAGAGAGAACACATATCTAGACCTTTCTAGGTGTTCCAGCACAAGTCTATGGTTAACATTCACTGGAAGTTGACCAGTGAATGTGAAGGATCCAGAAATGCCTACAGAACTGTTCTCGCTAAGAATCTCTAGATCAGTGGTTCTCAACCTGTGGGTCCCCAGTTTTTTTGCCCTACAACTCCCAGAATTCCCAGGGCACTGCACCTTTACAGCCAGTAGAAGTTGACCACAAAGACGAATTGGAGGCCCTACAAGGCCTAGACAAATGTTCTAAAAATCTCTAGGTCCTCAAGTACAAGTCTACATCCAATAGAAGTTAACCACAAAGTTGCACCAAAGAACCTATAAAGGCCTAGAGAAGTGTTTGAAGAATCTCGTAAGTCCTCTAGTGCAATTCCCTGGCCAGTTGAAGCTGACTATATAGTTGTGCTGGAAAATCTAGATATACTACCCAATTCCACAAATAATCAAATCCGCAAAAGTTAAACCCACAAATGTGAAGGCTCAACCATACTAAAATCCAACCCAATCGTTCAAAACGACATCCTTCAAGGGAAAGAAAAAGGCCTTCCTCCTTTCCTAGGACTCAGCCCCTAAGACTGCGCTCGAAGCACAGAGCAACCTTTTTTTCCCCCCTCACTTCGGTTGTGTTTACTTTCGGGGGGCCAGCAAAGGACACTTTTCCCTCCATCTTTTTTGTATCCTTCTACATTCTACATTGTATCCTTCTACATTCATATGTTTATTAACCAATTTCAGGTCCCCATGCAGAGCAAAAGTTTGTCCCTACATTGGCATAAGACTATTCTTGGAGAGACTTTGGAGAAAGAGAATCTTAAAATGAGCAGACAAAATACTCCAAGAGACACAGTAAAATAGGTTGCTCCCAAGATGAACATCAGTGTTCTAGAAACAGTGCTCACAATAGGAATGACACAACAGCTGGAATCCCATTAGAATACCCAACTACGGTAGACCCATTGAACCAATAGTGTTTGCCTAAGTGCTGTCTCACCATTCCTTGATTGATTCAATGGACCTACTCAAGGTTAACTTACAGGATTTCAGATGTACTGCTTTCGACAGTTGCACCCGAAGTTTGAGTAGTTTTATTCCAGTTATTGAGATGGTGGCTCCAAGATGAACCAATAAATACATTTATGGCTCCATGCAGTTACAAATAGTCCAAATCAAGAGATTTATGCAATGATACTGCCAAAGCTTCTCTGCTCAATCAACTGTTCTCTCACACACAGCGGCAAAACAATTTTTGAAGAAAATATGAAATGAAACTTGCAAAACCAATGGGAGTGCTTCCACGTAGCGGTTTTCTAGCCTAATGGTGATACCAAAATGGGGAGAAATGAGATGAACCTTTCTCATGATGTACTGACTCGAACTGAGATTTGATTCTATTTTGCAGTGCTATGCCATTACAAAGCAATGCACATAGATCTTGGGAGCTTGTCTGTCGGATCTTGGGGAAGGTAAGGTGATACAATACCCATTGCCATATACAACAGCTCTTTTAATCGATAGCCCTAAAACAGCCTCTTCAACATGCTGGCCCCCTACAACTCCCATCATCCCACACAGGGACGACTGCAGCCATAATTTAACACACCTGTGAGGTGCCAGGTTAGGGCAAGGATAGTGTAAAATTGTGTCAAAATTCGTTTATGGGAAGCACAGTCTCAAATCCTCTGCAGTTATGACATTTAAGAAAACCACAGAGAAAAATGAACTTCAGCAGAACAAAATTCAGTAAGGGATAGATCTGGTATGAAGGCTAGAGCTTCACAAAGTTACTTTCTTGGATTATAATTCTCAGATTCCCCGTCAGCATGTGTACTGGCAGAATTGGCTGGGGATTCTGCCGTCCCCCCACCCCCAAGTAATGTTTCCAAGCCCTGTTCAAAAATATTATGGGCCAGCTGATTGTTTGCCCTATGCTTCCACACAATACTGGTCATACAACTGAGTCCAAGAGCCAGCTCTGCAGCCTGGAGCATTTCTCAGCTCACATTCTGGTTGCGCTTCCTTAGGATAGCAAACAATAGCGTACACTTCCCATACTCTCTCATTCTCTCTTATGCACACATTCCCACCTATAAAACTAAAGAAATAAGTCAGTACATACAATGTATAAAACTTATGAGTGTGCTAAAAACGCACATAACCCGCTTTTATTTTGTGTTTCATCCTTCAGGTGTACTCCATATCAGATGCCAAACCGGCACCTCCACCTGCAACAGAGCTCACCACTCCAAGGCAAAAGCAGCAGCGAGACTTCCAGACAAAGGATACCATCCTTTGCCACTCATGATTCAGGAGAGACAGGGTCTGGTTTGCCTTCAGGGTCATGTTGCAATTTCTCCTGCCATCCGGAGGACAGAGATTCCTGTGTGCCAAGACCTTGCGACAGCAACTCATTTGGCTGCTGTGGCGTCTTCCCTCAGGATCCTAAGTAACAAGGGTGAGCGCCTGTCAGGCTCCAAGTTCTTTTGGACTACAACTCCCATAATCCCCCACCACTGGAAATTATGGTCTAGGGCTAAGGAGAGGTGCAATCCCAAGGGGCCTTAATGGCAGAGGTTGCCTTCCCCAACCCCATTTTCCAAGACTTCTACAGAGCTCTCTCCTGAGAGTCTCTAGGCTAAAGGAGAAGAGAAATTGGGTGATTCTACCAGATGCCCAAGAGCTCTGTCTGCCAGAGCTCACAAGACAATGAATTTCATAGCAGTGATGTGTTTAGGTCTGCTGCATGAAAATATTGCCTCCCGCAGCTTTACGATTGTTTGCAACTGATTATCATGGGGCCATTTGAACCTCCAGAGCAGTTCTAGGCCAATTTAGGTCAATGATCCATTTCATTAAATCTGACCAATAGTTTCTCTCTAGGGTTTCGGGGCAAGAGGGCTTCCTCAACCCGCAAGGTCCAATTCGAGGATCGTCTGCATGCTGAGCTGCAGCCCTGTCCCTGAGCTACAGCCCTACTTCCCAAAACACAGCCTGTGTGTGGGTAAATCCCAATTCTGCAGGTCAACCATCTGCCAACATTGTCCACGGAAAGATACAGGTAGAGAGGGAAGAAAACCAAATTTCAACGAAACGGGAAGGCATCCTGATGAATTTGGTATTGAACGAGCTCAGTTGCCAAATGAATGAGCCAAAGTGGCCTCACAGCTCCATACCACCACCATTAATGTTTCTTTCCTGTCCCTCGAGGCTATTTGCCTTTCATAAGGCAATAGGATCACATGAACCAAGGAGGAGTCAAACCTTCACAAGCAATCCCTGGCCACACTCCCTGACTGACAAAACAGGCGAGCGGTGAGGAAATGCCTCCCAATTCGATTTGGAATCTGTCAAGTATTTACACACTTTCCCAGGGAGAGAAAAAAGATCCCCTTTCATTCCAACCAGAGATAAACTTCTCGGGGGGGGGGGGGGGGGGGGGGGATGACATTTAACCTGGAACATAACTGAGAATTACTAGTCGCAAACATTTCATATTCCCACAACTAATAAAAACAATGAGTTGCTAGCTTCATCAAGGCGGAAAAGAAGGAGGATAAAAGAAAGCCACCTGGGAGTTGAATCCCAGCTTGCAGTGACAACAGTGACAATTTATTAAGCCCAAGATCCACAACTGTGTCACCCCAAACCAGCACTGTTTGTCTGCCTGCTGAGTCCTACAATGATCGTTTAAGGCTTTAACACCCATATCGCCGCTTGAAATGAAAACCAGAATGAATAGGGAAAGAGGAATGACCCAGATACAACTGCACTGACGAACCTTTGCTCCTCCATCTTGCCTCTCAAGAGATGAGAAAGATCCCAACACATCTCTTTCCCAAACCCCAGTACCTAAAAGCATGCGACGCCTGTCATGAGCCCGCATCATATTGTGAGTCACAGATTTGGAACCATTCCAGCACAAGAGTTGCATGTTTTACAGCTAAACCAGTAAATCAGTAGCTCCAAGTGCAGGGCTTAGTACCAAATGTTTCACAAACCCCTTCACACACTCAGCATCCTGATTCCAAGGCAGCATCAGAAACAAAATGAAGATTTAAAAGTGTGTCCCATGCTCTTTTCCTCTTCTTTGAGTTTCTATCAGCCAAGGATCTTGCTTCCATTCAAAGGGGCAACCAGCAGAACCAATGTCCTTCGCTGTCAAGAAAGGAACACAACAGGTTGCGGGACAGCAAATGATTTTACAGCAGTTGGCCAATTCGTACCTTTCTTCTCAGTACCTGCTTTCTCCCAGATCCAAAGCGCTCCAAAATCCCAAACGTCCGTCACAAGGCCTTTCTATTCCACAATTTACAAGGGGAGAGGACAGACAACAAGAAAACCATCCATGCTTTTTTCCTCTTTAAAAATGAAAAAATGACTTAAAAAAAATAATTTTCTGCTCTTTTTCCAGAACCAGTAGAAAAAGGGCAGCTTTTACAATCTTTTTTTTTTCCCAAGAGGGCAACCGAACCAGGATGGAAAATGACAGCAAATCGCCAGGAGGCACAAATCTAGACTAGAACATAAAACTAGTGTTCCAAAATTGAAGTAGCTGAGCTTATTTCTGACGTTCGAGTCCACTGACGAGTGTCCACCTGTAACTCGGGTGTGCAAACCGTTGCTCAATTATCATCACCTTTTTTTTTATTTCTGACCGGCAGTAAGGGTTCTTGTTTCTCACGTAATTTCCTTTATACAATGGTATTTAGAGAACAGTGACTGTGGCGGCTGCCCGCGAGGGTCTCTGCCGGTGTGCTTTCACTTAAGGGCGTGTCAGGAGGGACAAGAAGGGTACTACTGTCAGCAGAGTTTTCCAGCTCAACTGGGGAAGGGCCCACCGAAGGAGGGGGAGACTCTTCTGCCAGCGGGGAAGAGGCGTCACCGCTTCCAAGTGCCAACGGATTGTTTGGCCCAGTCTGGGAATGGACTCCATCTAAAAAAAGAGAGAAAGGCAGGGAGGAATCAAGCCTGAGACGCAATGCAAGTGACCCCATAAGTCATCATTTCATTCCAATATTGCTTTATTAGCTGGGTCAGGCTTCCCCAAGGTAGGTGTTTTCCAGATGATTGGGACAATAACTGGATCTTTGAGAAAAGGGACTTTCTGGACTACAACACCACCTAGAGGATTTTAGGGGTTGTAATTCAATGATAACTTTTCCAAAGTTCTGACTACAGCTGGCATCAGGCCCAGCAAAGAGAGATGACAGTGACAGATAACCTAGAAGTTACCGAGTGGAGCAAGATTGGCTCAGGTCTACTCTCAGAGCATCCCTACAGAAGGGATGTGCCTGTGTTTTCCCTATGTTGGGAAACCTGAGACTGGGAAACAAATGATGCTCATACACAACAAGAAAAAACCTCTGGCACTTTGAGATTGTAAACAGTGAAGTCAGAGGGCAATGGAATCCAGAAAATGTTGACCCTGACCATTCTATCACTGACACTGTCCTGTTAACAGAGGCCAGAGGACAAGTTCCTCAAAACCGGTTGCAGCCCAAAACAGCCTCAAAACTGGCCTCAATACCTCTGTTTTCCTCAGTGATCACTCTCTAAATCAGTGGTTCTCAACCTGGGGTCCCCAGATGTTTTTGGCCTTCAACTCCCAGAAATCCTAACAGCTGGTAAACTGGCTGGGATTTCTGGGAGTTGTAGGCCAACAACATCTGGGGACCCCAGGTTGAGAACCACTGCTCTAAATGCTAGCAGGAATTGACATCGCCATTTTGAGAAGGTCCGCAGAAGAAAACAGAGTTCTTTAAGGATAGCACAAAGTCCTGGAATGTTTGTGGAAGCATTTTCATGATTTTGGGGTACCATTTGCTTGACCAGTGTCCCACATTTTGAAAAGTATGGGGTTGAAGATCATTGAGGGACCAGTGAAGGATTTCAGGGTCCACAAAATGGGGTATAAGGACTGTACTCAGACCTTAGGCTACACCATACCCTTTCCTGCCCTAGAATAGAACCAGGATGTTTGGGTTGGTTACCAGCCACAGTTCTGTGAATAGCCAGTTTCTGTCCTGGAATTGTCACTGCCAGGGGCCCCTGTATTGAAAGCACTACAAAACTAGGAGGACAACACAGTGATTAAGTACCTTGTGGAGAACAAAGGATGTTGTCGGGGTTGATAGAAGCCTCATAAGGGGGAGGCGGATCATCTGGATGCTGGATATCCGGATATTTGTAAGCTGTGTAGGGAGGAGGCGGGTCGTGGAAGTGAAACGCTCCGCCTTCTCCGTCATCCGAAAGATGCAGTGGCGTCAGTCCAGTTCCAAAACCATCGGGGCCATAATCAAAGCCAGGCATCCTACGACCCAAGTTGAAGTGATGCACTATGGAGGGGACGACACACACATAACCCAAAATGCATTATGAAGCATAGCCTTTTGTTAAATGTTCCATGCCTGGGGTCACATTTACATGGTTCAAACACAGCATCAAGCCAGGCCTTGGTCTGCTGAATCATATATCTGACCCTGAACACAAGCAGCAACCCACAATCCGAAGCAATGGCGTGTTTCTGGTTTACAAACCCTTATATGTTTAAATGATCATTTGTTGTTACAGATAAAAACAGAACTATGGCTTGTTTCCCAGGTACCCACAATGAAGAGAAAGATATTGAATCTCTTTGCGGATGATCTTATGGTGGTACTATCCAATCCCCTAGAAGGAATAAGGGAGCTAAAAATTATACTAAGTGATTACGAGAGAAATACAGGATTGAGGGTCAATATAAAAAAATCAGAAATTATGTACTTCAAAGTAGATAAAGCAGAAAAAGTGGAAATAGAATAACTGAAATTGGCATGGGGAAAGGAAAAATAAAATACTTGGGAGTAACAATACAAAAAAACATAGATAAGATGAAGAAGAGTAACTATAAAGAGGCGTGGAAAAAAGTTCTTAAGACCATGAAAAGATGGAAGGAAAAAAATTTGAATATTTTTAGGAAAATAAGAGCAGCAAAAATGTTCTTAATTCCAAAATTAATGTATTTGTTTCAGGTTCTCCCACTAGAAATTAATCCAAGACAAATAAAAACTTGGGATAGGACTATCAGAGAATGGATTTTGAGCGAAAAGAAACCTAGAATCTCAAACAAAGTATACTATATGCACCAGGAAGAATTAGGGTGGGGATTACCAAACTTGGAATTATATTACGAAGCTTTCCAATTAAAGTCATTAATAGAAAGTAGTGTAGAGAGAGAAGAAAAATGGTGCAGAATAGAAGATGCAGTAAACAATGGAGAAGGAAAATTTGGGATTTTTACAGAAAATTTAGAGGCTTCAATTAAAAAAACAAGAGGTCCTAGAAGATTAGCATTAAAAATATGGAAAAAATGGAAACCAATTTGGATGTCTAATATAGTAAAGTGGACACCACTAGAAAGCTTATATGGAAAAGAGTTTGGCCCTATATGGTGGGAAGATTTGAAAGATAAAGGCTACTACTGCATTAAAGATATGTATGATATAAATGGTCAACTGATTCCCATGGACAGGATAATAGAAAAAATGGGAAATAAAAACTGGATAAAAGTACTAGGCCTATATAACAAACTTAAACAGGGGAAATATGGAGAATGTCTAGACAAGGAAAGTGCGCTTGAAAATATATTTAAGAAAGGACAGAAGACAATGAAAGGTTTAGTAGGAGAATTATACAAAACAATGATAAAGGACGATGAATACGTAGTCAGAACATTACAAAATAAGTGGCAGAAGGAGGGGACTCTCACAAAACAAACTATTGAGGAATTAAAGAAAGGAATAAATAAAATCAAAATGGAAAAATATAAAGAATTAGAAAGGAAATTTATCTGGAAATGGTATAGGACACCAGCTCAATTAGCAAATATGGGAACAGGATTAAGTCCAATGTGTTGGCACTGTAAAGCAGAGAAAGGCTGGTATGCACATATGTGGTGGGACTGTTTAAATGCAAAAACGTTTTGGAATAAGATAACTAGAAAAATTGGGAAACTTTTCAAAATAACAATACAAGCCAATATGGAATTTATGTTAATGGCAATTACAGGGAATAAAAATATTGATGCGAAGAACCAAAACTTATTTAAAGCAATGATTCTAGCAGGTAAGGCAGTAATAGCCTGGGGGTGGAGAGATGAAAAAAAATGGAATTTGGAAAATTGGAATAATTATTTATTTGAACAAGTTCAATCAGATATTATTGAATGTATAACCCAAGAAGACTCACAGGAGGATAAAACAGAAGAAATTAAAGAGAAATGGGCAACATATATGAAATGGGTAGAAGAAGGTGAAGCCAGCATAGAAATTGTACAAAGATTGCAAAAGTTGTGTGCGTGGTTAAAAATAAAGATATAGAGAGAAATGTGGCGGGAGGGGTAGGAAAGGGGGGTGGGAGGGGGGGGAGAAAAAAGAAAGAAAGAAGAAAATAATAATAATAATAAAAATGTAATATGAATAAACTTGTAAAGAATGTGAATAGATAATATTGAAATATGTCACTATAATGTATGCCTACAATAGACAAGTATTATCTGTTCAAATATGTTATTATTTTTCTTTCTCAATAAAAAAAAAAGACAATGAAGAGAAAGATGACAAAAGGGGGAAGGAGGGGAAAAAAACTGCAAATAGGGAGGAAAACTTATGGTTTGGTTGATGATCTGGAACTCAATTCAGTCCTTCACACACACACACACTTCCACTTATCTGAAAAAAAAATCTTTCTTCAACCTTCTAGAGTTTAGTAGCATAATGTAACATCAGAAGGGGAGAAGTTTAACTGCTATTGATTTGGAAAGTGGGTATCAAAAAACCCTTGCTGATTTATTCCAAACCACCTTGACAACTACCCATAGATCTAAAGCTACCTTTTGTGTACCATGTGTAGCTACCATTACAGTGAATTCTATCTCTCAGTAAGAACTCATTCCTGGAAATTACAAACCCAGTCCAATTGTTCACAGCACTGGCTTTCCAAGACTCTTCCATGCTTTCTTACCTGACAGACTATATCTCCTGATATGAGTATGTCTTGATATTTAGGCCTCGCAGGGAAGGCTCTGTTTTGGTCCCACCACTTTCTTAGGGAAATCTGGTAAGGACACAGATATGGGATCTCCCTGTTCTCTTTCTGCTGGCAGGCAAAAATTGTGCACTTATCCAGACACAATTAACTAGCAACTGCAGATCTTTCAACTTGAGTGTGCTGAATTTGTAAACTGGATATTATGTTAAACTACCTTTTAAACAACTTTGAATATTTTTTTAATATGATGGTGTATTACATTTATAACCTTTTGTATTATTCATTATTTTGTTTTAACTTGTATTGTTTTAACTTGTATCGTGAACTATCTTGGATATCATATGGGAGGAAAGGCGGGGTGTAAAATAAGCAAACACCTTTATTTCAGCAGCCTTCCTTCCTGGAGGGTAAAGTCTGAAACAAAATACCTTTTCTGCTTGGACCTTCATCGCTGCTCAAAACTCTTTAATTTCCCAGCCAAACCTGCACTCAAAAAGATTCACCTCTACTGTGTAGAGAGGTTGGCTCAGAAGTGGGGCCAATGAGGTCAACCTCATTCTCCCCATAGCTCAACCCTAATCACGGGGATGGGGCTGGGTTAGGGTTAGGGTTAGGATATGGCCCAAGAACAAGGGCTGCTTACGGTTGGCTCCAATCAAGGACTCTATGCGCTCCCGGCGTCTCTGCCGCAATCGGTGGACCATAAAGAGCAACAGGGATAAAATAAGGAAAGAGGAGATGCAGCTCACAATAAGACGCATGCCGCTTGCCATGGAGTCAAATAAGCTGTTTCCATCTGCAAAAGGAAACCAATGGAGAAAGTGAGAGCAAGCAAAGCCATTCCATGAATGCAACAAAATCAGGCCAGGTTGGCACTCTTTGGATACTTGGGGCTACAACTCTCAGCCTCCCTGGGCATGTTAAGTGAGGCCAGTAGCAGCTGGAAAACTAAAATAGACCAGAGAAGAAGCAGAAACCAAGTGACTTGCATCCAAAACAGAAGAGGTTTTACTCTGGGACTGCTCTTCAGTTCTTAGACTTGCTACAAATGAGCTGCACCTCACAAAGGCTGAGAAGAATGCCTTTAGTAGTAACCTGGGTAGTCTGATCAATTTTAATATGCATTTCATCCGTAGATTTTAACTTATATTTTTATTCTGCATTTTAATAATGTTTTATCTTTTATGTTGTACCCCACACATCGAGCCACAGGGACAGGTAGGTAATAAATTTGTTGTTATGAGGCACAAAGGAGAGCTCCTCTAGAAGATCTCAGCTTTCAGAAAGGCATCTCAAGAAAGGCACTCTTTCAAATACTGAGGTCCCAAACTGTCTAGGGCTTTACATCTCAGGATTAGCTCCTTCAATCGAGACCTGAAGAATCCTGGCAGTCTGTTCAAATTCATTAAAATCCACATTATGTGATTTTCATATGACATTCCTGTCAGCAGTTGAGCAGTGAATTTCTGCACTCACTATAGTTTCTGAGTCATCTTCAATAGCAGTCTCCCATCGCAGTTTTATTTTTTCAGATGAAATTGCAACAGAGATTCTCAAAGAGAACCAGAACAGACACAGGCTGTCCACTCAAACATTTTCAGGGCTAATAAAATATGGCATCTAGTAAGCTAGATAGAAAAGCACCCAGGGTGGAATCCAATTTTAGTACAGACGAAGATCAATGCACCTTACGTCAATGGCGAGTAACAAGTCCCATGCATTTCGATGAGCCTTTTGTACATGGGACTCAAATTGGTTTTAGCATCTCCAAGAAGTTCAGATCAAAGCAATGCTCTGAAACTGCGCATCCAAGTCCCAGCTGCAGCTCTCGTTTGGGCAGAGGTGCCATTTTTCTTATGCATGAAAAAACCGTATTTATTTATTTGCACCATTTATATGCCACCCGAAGGGGACTCAGAGCGGCTTACAAGGGGGGCCAGGAAGGCAGTTCCACCTTGTCTCCTGCGCTATACTAATAATATAATATAATATATTGTATATACATGTAATATTTATAATATTGTGTTATACAATATAATACTACTACTAATAATAATACAATATTATAATTATATATTTTGTATTACATATAATATTACTAATATTACAATATAATGGTATAGTACAATATAGTAATATATAATACTGATATTATGCTATGCTAATAATATATTGTATGTGTATATATATTATATTATTAGCATAGCATAGTATCAGTATTATATATTACTATATTGTACTATACCATTATATTGTAATATTATTAGTAATATATTGTATATACATGTAATATTTATAATATTGTGTTATACAATATAATACTACTAATAATAATAATACAATATTATAATTATATATTTTGTATTACATATAATATTACTAATATTACAATATAATGGTATAGTACAATATAGTAATATATAATACTGATATTATGCTATGCTAATAATATATTGTATGTGTATATATATTATATTATTAGCATAGCATAGTATCAGTATTATATATTACTATATTGTACTATACAATTATATTGTAATATTATTAGTAATATTACATGTAATAAAAATATATAATTATAATATTGCATTATTATTATTAGTAGTAGTAGTAGTATATTGTATAACATTATAAGTATTATATGTATATACAATATATTATATATTATTAGTATAGCACAGGAGACAAGGTGGAACTGCCTTCCTGGCCCCCTCTCTCTTCACTCTGGCCTAGAGCAGGAGTTGGTGCTGGGGGGAGGGGCTCCCAACTTGATGGCATATCCCATGCAAGGGATGGGGACGGAGCAGGGAGAACGAGGGTACAGATAGGATCTTATTGCAGAGTTTGAAAGGCAAAAGATAATAATAATAATAATAATAATAATAATAATAATAATACTTTCTTTATACCCCGCCTCCATCTCCCCCAAGGGGACTCGGGGCAGCTTACATAAGGCCACGCCCATCAATACAGTAAAACACAATATAAACACAAAAACACAACAAAAAATCAAAAAAATAAATTACATAAGATGCAAAACCCATATAAGTAAACAACACAGCAGCATAAAATCAAACAGTAAAACACAGATGATCACACTGAGCAGGGCCAATTTCAAGGATAAAATTTTAAAACACTGGGAGATAGGACAACGTAAAAACCAGGGAGGGGATCCGAGGATGAGGTAGGATTTAATTGCACAAACCATAAAATTAAGCGCTTCTGAGGTCATTTTATGCAGAGTTTGGTCAGGGAGTATCTTACATTCAATCATTGAAGGCCCATTGGAATAACCGAGTTTTCAGGCTCCTCCTGAAGACTGCCAGAGTGGGGGCTTGCCTAATATCTCTGTGGAGCGAATTCCAGAGTTGGGGGGCCAACACAGAGAAGGCCCTCTCTCTAGTCCCCACAAATTGTGCTTGCGATGAGGGCGGGAGAGAGAGAAGAGCCTCTCTGGAAGACTGAAGAGGTCGTGTAGGTTCATAGACGGAAATGCGGTCATGCAGATAGGCGGGTCCCAAACTGTTCGGGGCTTTGTAGGTCAAAACCTGCACCTTGAATTGGGACTGGAAAATAAACGACAGCCAATGGAGCTCCTTAAACAGGAGGGTTGACCACTCTCTGTAATTCGCACCAGTTAGTAATCTGGCTGCCGCTCGTTGGACCAATTGGAGTTGCCGGGCCGTCTTCAACGGCAGCCCCACGTAGAGTGCATTGCAATCGTCCAATCTAGAGGGAACTAAGGCGTGGACCACCATGGCCAAATCCGACTTCACGAGGTACAGTCCCAGCCACCGCCGACGCCTGAGCTTCAAGCATCAGCGCTGAATCTAGGAGGACACCCAAGCTGTGGCTCTGTGATTTCAGGGGGAGTGCAACCCCATCAAGCAAAGGTTTCCACCCTATACCTCAATCCGGCCTACGATTGACCTGGAGGACCTCTGTCTTGTCAAGATTGATCCTTAGCTTATTCATCCTCATCCAGACCATCACAGCAGTCAGGCACTCGTCCAGCACCTGAGGGGTTTCCTTGGCATTAGGTGGAAAGGAGTAGTAAAGCTGGGTGTCATCCGCATAGAGATGGCACCAAACTCCAAAACTCCGGATGACCTCTCCCAGCGGTTTCATGTAGATGTTAAAAAGCATGGGGGACAGAATGGAACCTTGCGGGACACCACAAGTCAAAGGCCAGGGGTCCAAGCAGGTGTCCCCCAGCTTCACCATCTGGGAGCGGCCTTCCAGGAAGGACCGGAGCCACGACAGAGCCATGCCCCTGAGACCCATCCCGGAGAGCCGGCCCAGAAGGATACCATGGTCGATGGTATCGAAAGCCGCTGAGATGTCCAAGAGAACCAGCAGGGTCACACTCCCCCTGTCCAGCTCCCTGCGGAGGTCATCCACCAAGGCGACCAAAGCCGTCTTGGTACCGTGACCAGGCCTAAACCCAGACTGTGACTGATCTAGAAAATCAGTGTCTTCTAGGAATCCCTGGAGCTGCGAGACGACCACCCGCTCCTGCACCTTGCCCAAAAAGGGAAGGTTAGAGATTGGCCTATAGTTATTCAGAACCGTAGGGTCAAGGGAGATCTTCTTCAGGATTGGTCTCACCACTGCCTGCTTCAGACCAGATGGAAATTTCCCCTGAGCCAATGATGCATTAATAATCGGCACAAATCAATCTAATAACCCACCTCTGGCCGCTTTGATTAGCCAGGAAGGGCAAGTATCCAGAGCGGATGTGGTCACTCTCACAGCTCCCAGGACCCCATCAACGTCATCAGGACAAACAAACCGGAAAGAATCCCACAAGATCTGACCGACAGATGCCTCGGTTACCTCTTCTGACATTGCATTTAAACTGGAGTCAGGCTCGAGGCGAATCTGAGTGACTTTATCTGCAAAATGGTGCGCGAACTCGCAGCACCAAATTGGCGAGTCCTCGGGGCTCTCCGACAACCTGAAACAACTCAGAAGGTCTATTGGATGCAGATGCTATGCAGGCAGTCGAGAAGGTCTTCTTGGCTGCCCACAAATCTTGGTCGGAAACACCCCGAGATTTCTTCCAGATGCACTCTACGCTCCTTCTTGTGCGCTTCATCTCGGCCAAATCCTCAGTAAACCATGGAGTTGGCCTAACTGCGCAACGAGAGGGGACATTCGGGGACAATCGTGTCAATCACCCTAGCCATCTCGCTATTATAGTGATCAACTAGGATGTCAACAGGATCATCAGCCTCCATGACAGGAAGAACCCCAAGAGTCCTCAGAAATCCATCCGGATCCATCAGTCTCCTGGGGCGGACCATCTTAGTGGGTCCACCACCCCTGCAGAGGTTAGAGGTCGCAGTGAGCCTAAACCTGATTAGGTGATGGTCAGACCATGACAATGGAAGAATGTTCTGCTCTTCCACCCTGACCACTCCGCTGTCCGCAGTAAAAACTAGGTCAAGTGTATGTCCAGCCTAATGGGTGGGTCCAGATATTACTTGTGATAGCCCCATGGCCGTCATAGCAACCATGAAATCTTGAGCCACTCCTGCTAACGTGGTCTCTGCATGAATGTTAAAGTCTCCCAGCACAACCAAATGCTGGGAGACCAGGGCCAAATTAGAGACCACGTCTGCTAGCTCTGGCAGGGAGACTGCTGTGTCGCGCGGTGCATGGTACACCAGCAGAATCCGAAAGCTATCAAGGGTTCCCAACCTCAGGTGGACACACTCAAACCCAGAGGACTGTGGCACAGTGCACCTGATCACAGAGATGGACTGCCGAAAGACCACCGCGACCCCTCCTCCACCCCGCCCCCCAGATCTAGCCTGCGGGTGCACCCCAAAGCCCAGTGGGCACGGCTGGGTGAGATTTACTCTGCCCAGCTCATCCAATCAGGTCTTGGTGATGCAAGCCAGATCTGCCCCAACATCCAGGATCAAGTCCTGGATAACCGATGTTTTACCATTGACGGATCTGGCATTTACCAGCAGGGTCTTAAGTCCAGGGGGTCTGTCATGGAGACTACCGCACCCAACCTTCTCCAGGGTCGCAAGGCCTCTACTGCGCTTTTCCCAAGGATGATTTCAGTGACCAACATTCCTCCTCCCCCACACAACCTCAATGGTGCCCCCCCATCCAACCCCCCCCCTCCCCCTAGGAAATAGGCTTGCTAGAACTGGCATTCTGAGGGGCTATTCAACCCTCCAGTGATGGGAAGCTACATTGTAATTTGTTTTGGCTGGCACTTGGGGATATTTCCAATGACACAAAAGATGTGGTTTTAAGCTGGACAGAGAAAAATTGGGAAGTCAATCAAGAGAACTAAAGTGGAGCTGTTGTACTTCAGACACCTAGTTCCATACGCCTGAAAAAAAATAAGCTAAGGGCAAAAGGGAGGTGGAGAGAGATACAACTAAGACCTTGTTTGACAAGAAAATGCTCTTACCGGGATCCAGACACGTAAACTTGCAGCACTCTTTGGGATCTTTACGATACTGTTGACAGGTTTGCGGGCGCTCGCACAAGGCTGCCACACACATCTCCGGCTCCCCGTTGTGACACGTACAACTTAAGCAGGGGTCATCGCCTTTTGGCGTGAAGTAGTAGCCTTCATCCACAATGTTGTCTTTAATATCCACACAAGTCTGGCCTGAAACAAGGAGGTTGGGGGAAAGGATGCTAATCTATCTTTTCTCACAACAGGAGAAAAACCAGTTGGCAGAAAAGACGGCCATGATCTAGCAGCTTCCCATTTTCTCCAGCGAGAAGAAAACGCTCCCTGCAGGAAAAAATACTGCCCGCGGTGTTGAGTGGAAAGCTGAGGAGTGTTGCTGGCAACAGTTCTCCTTGGTCAAGAAAACAGGTGTGGAAAAGACCCTTGATAGTAGTTAGCCAAAAAGGGGAAGAAAGACTAAAAGATAAGGGGAGGTATTCCCCTTTGGTTTGCCACAAGTCTCATAAGGACAAGAGAAGTACAGACACTCAAGGAGTAGATACACAACTCCCCAAAATTATCGCCCACCATTTATATGGGTCTACTGGTCCCAGAAGTTAACCTGGGTCTAAGTAGTCCAATCCTTCCGGAAGGGCACCACGTTGGGGAAAATTGGGATATAGTCCTTCTTTTGCACACTCCACACATAGTCACATATTACCCACAGTAACCCCAAGAGATAATCCAGTGAAGTGCTGAATCTCCATTTCTTATATTGGGGGGAGGGGGTTACTTTGTTCTTGCACGTTTATGGAGTCTGCATACCAATATAAAAAACAGACAACTGAAAAAAACAATTCTTGAATGAGCAACTTACTTCTTTTGCAAAGGAATGACGATTTCTCATAGCAGTTTTCAGCATACCAGCTGTGAAAACCGCGGTGTCGAAGGGTTGGGAAATGGGAACACTGGAACTGGGCACAGAAGATGTTTTCATTTTCGGACACAGACGTTGGAAGTGTCGGGTTCGGGGGCAGAAACACCTCAGACGAACCTGAGAAGACAAAAAATGGGTCATAGGAGAAGTCTGACACAGAGATCAGGGATGAAAAATACATCTGAAAACTTTGAAAGTGATTGTCCTTAATGAGAAGCAAAAACACAACTCTGAGCACTTTTCACCAAGGACTTAAAAACATATGATCCAACTGAAGATCCCATCAGTAACGCATGTCAGGTTATTTTCTCTTTCTTTGTTCGTCTTGTTGCATATTGCTATTCCAGTCAAGCACAGCAATGTCTGTGAATTTTACTCCCGTGCCAGAAATAGTGTGTATCCCTAAGACCTGCTTGTTCAAAACGTATGATCCAAAAAGCAGCAAAGTTTAGCCCACATGACATACGGAATTCAATGGAAACTTTGCTTCCTTGCAGTTTGTGACATGAGAATGTTTGCTTTCATGGTCCATTATTTTCCTTCTGCAGCTATACCAGCAGATGGCAGCGCAGCTCCAGTTTTACATGTGAATGGGAAAGCTTAACAGAACGCCCAGTTCCAGTGGAACAAAATGCTCCAGCCTTGCTCAGATGGAGAACACCTAAAACATCTCTCTAGACATCTCTACGTCCTCCAGTGTGACTCTACAGTCACAGAGTCATGCTGGAGGATCCACACATTCCTAAAGAGGTGTTTTCTAGGAATGTATAGGTCTTTAAGCACATCAAGTCACACTGGAGGACCTAGAGAACTCTAGAAAAATCATCTCAATCAAATCTGTGAATAATCCAATCTGCAAAAGTTAAACCCACAAATGTGGAGGGCTGACCATATTGGTTTCCAGTGAAGTTAAATAGAACTTATCCTTCAGATCAGTGGTTCCCAACCATTTTATTGACCAGGGACCACTTTGACCAGGGTTCACTTGACCAGGGACCATTCTCCAACATTAGTACCAAAAGGGTTACAAATCAGTTTTTTTGTCAACTGTAGATTCAGTTTGGTTATCTGGGATGCTGATTCAGAAAATTGCATTGGATAGACCACATCAGCTCTAGTTTCTGATACAGAACATATGCCATCCAGTAGTCACCATCTGCTCGCCCACAGAAAACCATATTTAATAATCTAGAGCTAATGTGGTCTATCCAATGTAATTTTATGAATCAACACCCCAAATAACCCCAGGAACAGGCCTAAAAACAAAGACACCAAAGCACACACACACACACCCACTTCCAGCACCACATGGAATGGTTGCGCTCAGGGGGAGGGAGGAGGAGGAGAAGCAGAAGTCAGGAGGCTTGTTGTTGCGCCCTTCTTGGGTAGTCAGCCTCTCCCCTTCTAACATCCGCATTGCCTCGGCACTATAAGACCAAACGCTCTCATTGCAACAGTCTAGCAACTGTGAGGCCGTGGACCATATTTTAGTTCTTGGGGACCAGTGGTGGTCCATGGACCACAGGTTGGGAACCACTGCTTCAGAGAGATAAGCATGAGACGTAAACAAGAGGGGAGGATGAGATGGCGAGTCTTTTGGTGTAAACAGAACAAAATCAGCAGATCACATCCCCTCAGTTTGGAACAAAAGCCTGGCAAATCAACATCCTTCAGAGAGGCATCTAGGATGACATTCTAGAAGGTAATTTGGCTGTTTGCCCAAGGATGCTGCCACAAACATATGCATTAGCCAACTTCAATCCTTAGCTAAACAGCATGAAGACTCACCCCACCTTTCCAAATCTTACCTTTATAAGCAACCTCCCAGTGACCTTCTAGAGAACTATTTCGGTTCGTGATGACATACTGATACCCAACCCAGAACCTAGAATTGGAAGGTTTGAAAAGAGAGAAAAGAAATCTCAGGGAGGAGCTGGGTAAAGCAGAAATATTTAATTTTTTATTTTAATATAACAAAAACAATAATATTTATTACAGTCCATAGACCCATCAGTAAACGAACAGTCATTTTGAATTCTCCCATCTCAGGAGAAGTTCATTGTACAAGATACATCTACATGGTTTCAAGTAATACCCCTATCAGAGGTTAGTTGCTTCCTCAGCCTTGTTGCTACTGCGAGAAATTTTGCTACTACGAGAGTCACCCTGTGGCACTTGTCCTCTAAAAGATATCTAACAATCCTCTGTGAAGGATGGCTGGTCACGCGGGACAGGATTGGATATAAAAGTTGGCCACGTTGCATTGTGTAATAGCGGCACTGCAATAAAATAAAATTTCATTTCCTCCATAGGGGCACAGTCTTTGGGAGTAGGGAATTCCAGACAGCATGCCTCTTAGCAGCTCTGAGGGAAATGACAATTCTCACCTTTGTAAGGAGTCTATGACATTTAATCACTGTAAGGCCTTTTAGGTATTCACATGTCTTAAATGGCTCTCTGTATGGTAAGATTAGGACTCTGGGGGAGCATGGTGAATTTGAACCGGCTCTAAGCTCACCCAGGGCAATGTCCCACAACCTTTGCTTCAGAGATTCTTGTGCCATTTTGAATCCCAAATAGATCAGAAGATATGCAGATAGTCAAATTGAGGCTGCTTTTTATTAAATTCTCCACACCCAAAGGGATTTGGAGGTTTTATAAGGGTGATGATGTAGTAAACCTGTTCTCGGTTTGAATACCATAGTTTTTAACCATAAGTTCATTTTCAGAGTCCAGGCCCTAGTACTCAATGAGCATTCACCCATTTCTAGAAGCAGGACCACTTTTGGTACACAAGATGACACATTTAGAAGATCTCTTATAAACCTTGCTTGCACTCTATCTAGGTTAACAGACGAATTTTCACACCATATGGCTCCATTGAAGAGTAGTTTAGAGGCTGTTTTGGCATTAAAGATTTTAGTGTGGAGGGGACGTATTGTCCTCCTTTGGTGTAATAAAACCTTATTATACCTCACAACCTCTGAGGAGGCCTGCCATAGATGTGGGCAAAACATCAGGAGAGAACGCTTCAGGAACATGACCAGACAGCCCGGAAAACTCACAGCACCCAGTGATTCTGGCCATGAAAGCCTTCAACAACAAACCTTATTATAGCTGCTCAGCAGGCCTGTGCCTTTTGAAACACTATTTCAGATTGCACTCTCCAGGATAATGTGGGTGGGAGATTAGGGCCAAATACTGGGAGCTTCTAACCTGCTCTAGAGAGAATTTGTCAATAGACCATTTATATTTTGTAAATTTACTTTCAAAAACCAGAACTTTTGATTTGCTGAAATTTATATTTAGCTTGTTTGTTTCACAATATTCTGTAAAGTTCCTAAGTTGGTGTTTGAGCCCTGGTCTAGACCTGGAGAGGATGGCTGTATCATTTGCATACAGCAAGATGGGGACTCTCCTTTTACCCAATCAGGGTAGGTGACCTTGTGGATCCATAATAGCTTCCTCAAGATCATTAAGAAATAAGTTAATATTGTAATATAAAAGAACCGTTTTTTCTTCATGGGAGAAAACTATCCTGGCAAAGCAAAAAAAAAAATCATCCTGTGAACTTTTTGCAATTAAATCTAAAGCTCAGGATCCAGGCTTTTGCTGGCATGTACATGAGAATCACTAAGCTCAGAAAAGGAGAAGCAGGAGAAGGAAGAAAAGGCATGGAAGGCATTTTTCAACTTCAATGTAGTAAAGCATTTCACTTACATTTCAATGACAACTTAGCATAAAATAGTTTTGGAATTAAAATGATTTGCTTATTAAAGATTAACTGAAAAGCATCCCTTTCCTCCTAACGTCCCTCTCTTTGAATCAGGACCAAGCCTACCATTATTAGGGGAAAAATACCCTAGTATGAACTTGTTCAAAGCTACTGGGGAAACATAAGGGAAGATTGCTAAAGCTGGTGGTATAATAGGCCCATGGTTGATGAAAATGGGGCACGAGGAAACTCCCATTTGTTGGCGATACTTTAGCACCTTTGCAGTTCCTGTGTAACTACACACAAAGCAATGAAAAACACCTAGATCCAGAAAAGCACGGTGGAGTTTGGCCCCTCTGTGCCCACTCACCGACGCTGGTCCTTCCTCCCAAAGGCCTTCTCCTCAGAGTCCCACTCCTGCTGCAGGATAAATTTGAGCTCTTGGTCCGTTGTGAAGGTGGCCAGTGATCCGTTCACTCTGTGACACGTCTGCACCGCGTCCCAGTAGTTCTCGCCATTTAAGTACACCCTGTAGCAACTGGCCGTGCCCTCGTAGTGATGCCATCCTGATGGGCATTTCCCTAGGAAACATAAAGGACAGAAGGGAAACAATTCCCCCCTAGTCAGGATCTCACATGGGTGTTAATCATATTACCAGTATGTCAATACAGGCACTCCAATATACAAAATGGTTCTAGTCTCAAGCATTTCGGAGAAGGAAGACTCAAAATGTCCTTCAAAGAAGAATTCAATCTGAATGTCAGGTTATCCAGCCTCTAAGAACCACACAGCAAGACATTACAGCCAAGATATTAAAACTTCGGCATGTAGAAGTCTGCTACAGCTCTCCTATCGTTACCTCCAAGACTCACCATTTTGAGACAGTAGCCCAAATCAGTGGTTGATGAAAAGCAAGGGATCGTCCCCCACCTCTGGAACTCCCTCCCAAAATAAAGAAAAATGGCTCCCTCTCTCCTCTACTTCAAAAAAAACTCTTGAAAACTCATCTATGCTCTTTAGCTTATGAAGAGGAGGAGGACTAGAACACCTTAAGATAAAACCTCATCTGGATGCTAGCAACTCACCCTGGCCCTGTAGGCTGCTATACATTATTTTATTATTTTATGCATTTTGGTTGTTTAGATTTTAGAGGAGATAGGGTGGGTTATAAAGTTGTTGTTGTTGTTGTTGTTGTTACTGAAGATGTATAGCCAGACATAGCCTAAGGACATCTTTCCTCAAGATCGGCTTGGGACATCCAGGGGTCTTAGCAGATGATGTCACCAGTTTGCATCTGGCTACGAGAAAGCCAGATATCCCTCTGATCCCGTCCAATAGCAATGGAACTGATATGGAAGGAGTGATTTCACAGCATGTCAGGGCAGCAGGCTTTTGATCTTGTCAAGGGAGGAAGAGAATATCCCCCCAAATATTCTGTCACAATATTGGCTCACACTTGTGTATGTCTCTCACAACATGCAAGTCTATGTTGCCAAAAAACAACACCCTGGACTTTAAATGTAGGCTGTTTTGCAAAGTGAAGACCAGCCTCTTCCTAGACCTCTATGGGTCAAACAGCAATGAGGAAACTTGGAGCCTGCACCCAAGTCTGCAACTTACTGCTAAACCGAACCGGCTGTGCCATGTTGACTGTGTGAAAGCGAGTGGTGTCCCCACCTCTTCCACGATTGTGCCGGGAATCCATGGCCTCCTTCCCATGGTAGCTCCGCTGGTCCCCTGTAAAATCTAGAGCAGAAAAGAGGTGCATTCATGAAGTTACAGGGAGGAAGGCAAGTTTGATGTTTGTATGGACATATTACTAACAGATAGGTTCCTGCAAACAATTTCCACAGGGGACAAGCTCTACCCTTGGAAGACAATCATACTCGGCCATGGGTGATCACCTATTTATAGACATCCATGGGGGAGAGGTTTCCAGGCATGGTGTGGATATGTGAAACCACAAATAGCAAACCCTATTATTTTCAATGAGCCAAACAATGGAGGTACCGAAAAGAGGGTGTGGCTTGTACAGAAGGCCCTAAGCAAATAAGTTCAATGTGTACAAGTGAAACTGCGCATATTGCTCCTGCCAATATGTGGGTCATCCTGGATCAATTTAGTACATTTTATTTGAATTCTGCCTTTCTCCCAATACTGGATCCAAAGTAGCCCTACATCCTCTCTTGTTTCTTCAAGCATACAGTTCAAGAAAGTGTGCATCAAATCCCATTGGCTTACCGGGGCTATTGCAAGTCACTTCTGATAGCTCTTAATGAAATGCATTATCACAAGATGTCTACGCACTACATTGCTGGAGAAATTATACTGTTTAGCTGGTATAGCACCACTTGATCTCCGTCGGGAAGTAGCAGCAAATAATGAAAGGACCAGGGCATTGACATCTCCAGCCCATTCTCTGGATACCAGCCAGCATGCCATGTCTTAAATCAAGAAATAGTTTTCTAAGATCTACAGAGATACTCACAGGAACACCTCAGCAAGTGAGAGTTCAAAAGTGACAGGTTAAAATCCAGAACCTCAATCAATGGCTCAGTCCGGATGAGAGACTCCCTCCTGGGAACACAAGACTTGGAAGGAGCTGAACAGACTGCGCTCTGGCACCATGAGATGCAGAGCCAATCTTAGGAAATGGGGCTACCAAGTGGAGTCCACGACATGCAAGTGTGGAGAAGAACAAACAACAGACCACTTACTATACATTGCAACCTGAGCCCTGCCACACGCACAATGGAGGACCTCCTTACAGCCACACCAGAGGCACTTGAAGTTGCCAGTTTCTGGTCTAAGGAAATTTAGTATACTTTTAACTTCGTGGTTTTTAAATATATTTATATACATTTTATACATTATAACTGTATTCTCAATTAGCTTCTGACACGATAAATAACCTGCAATGTCATTGGAGGGAGGTTCTTCGGTGTCTCCTGAGGAGTGGAAGCTATATCTGTTTGTGGAGGTAGGAGCTTGTCTGTGTGAGTGGACACCCCAGGCACACACACACATACATATCTTCACTGTTATTATGTGTATAATCTATCTATATAATAAAAGAGAATGTTTGTATCGGACAGAGGAAGGAGTATGTGGCAGCGTTCTGATTGGCTGCCGCTGCGGTGCTATTTGCATATGGTCTCTGATTGGCCACCTTCAATAGGAGCCCCTGGTGGAGAAGAGGGCTCATGGCAGAAACGGGGCATGACAGAAGGAAATTTGCATATGGTCTCTGATTGGCCAGCCTCAAATCCAACATTCCGAGATGAGAAAGAGAGGAAAGGAAAGGCCGGGCCTGGGTCAGAACACTCCCAATACAGATCGAAATAGGCACACAGAGCCCCCATCACCCACTCTACATCCTACTGCAGTTTGGAGGACTATGAACCATGGATGATGGGACTTGCAGTACCACCACTCACATTCTGAGACCGCTGTTAACCTTATCCAATGACTGATCAGGACCAAACTTCGCACAGAGACCTCTCATGACCCACTTTACGTCCTGGTGTGGTTTGGCTGGGGATGGACCGTGGATTATGGGACTTGCAGTACCATTGCTCATTCTTCAGACCACTGCAACCCTCATCCAATTACCATAAAGACCAAACTTGGCACACTGAGTCTCCATGACGCACTCTACATCCAGGTGCAGTTTGGAGGAGGATGCACCATGGACGATGGGACTTGCAATACCTGCACTCCCTTCCTAAGACCATTATAACTGCCAACAATGATGGATCAGGACCACAATTTACACAGAGAGTCCGCATAACTCACTCTACATCCTGGTGCGGTTTGGAAGAATTTGACAATGGATGATGGGACTTGCAGTCACTTCACTCACTTCCTGAGACCACTGAGACCCACGCCAATGACTCATCAAGACTAAACTAGGCACATGGAGCTTCAATGACCCACTCTACATCCTGGAGCAGTTTGGAGGACGACAGACCATGGATGATGGGACTTCAAGTACCTCCACTCCCTTCCCAAGATTGCTGCAACCCTCATCTAATGACCGATCAAGACCAAACTTGGCACACACAGCCCCCATGACCCACCCTACATCCCGGTGCTGTTTGAAGGATGGACGATGGGTGATGGGACTTGCAGTACGTTCACTCACTTCCTGAAACCATAGCGACACTCATTCAAAAACCAATAAAGACCAAACTTGGAACATAGAGCCCCCATGGCCAACTCAACATTCTGGTGAGGTTTGGGGAGTACAGACTATGGATGATGGGACTTCAAGTACCTCCACTCACTTCCCAAGACCTCTGCAACACTCATCTAATGACCTGATCAAGTCCAAACTTGGCACACAAAACCCCCATGACCCACTCTCCATCCTGGAGCAGTTTGGAGGGGGATGGACCACAGATAATGGGACTCACAGTAACTTCACTAACTTCCTGAGACAACTGCGAGTCATATAAATAACTGATAAAGACCAACCTTGATACACAATTCCTTTCTCAAATAACCCGGGCAGCGCCGGGTCCCCAAGCTAGTATAGATTATAATGAGCACCATGAACATGTAAAAGAGCCCTGCCAATGTCCTCAAACACCACACTGTCCTCCACCCAAGTGAAGGCTTTCATATGGGGAATTTCATCCTAGATTTTATGTTTTTCCTCCACTGCTGACATCCCAGTGTTTCTTACTGTCTCCACTGGTGTGGAATTTGCATAACCCCGCTCACTGCCTCTCCTTTAACCCTTTCCTATTCTTTTCTAAGGCACACAGCAAACAGAGGAATTGATCAGCAACTGAACATACTGGAAAGTTCTGGGGAGAATTCACCATGATTTAGAGGAGTTGTAGGTCCTGGGGTGTATAGTTTACCTGCAATCTAAGAGCACTCTGAATTCCACCAACGATGGACCTGAAACTAACTTGGCACACAGAACTCCCATGACCAGCAAAAAATACTGGAGGTTTTTGGGGAAAATTCACCTTGATTTGGGGGAGTTGTAGTTCACCTACATCCAGAGAGCACTGTGAACCCAAACAACAATGAGCCTGCACCAAACTTGGCACACAGAACTGCCATGACTAACTCACCCTGCTGTAGAGGTTTGAGGGGACTGACTCACTATAGTGGGAGCTGTAGTTTACCCTGCAGCCAGAGAGTACACTGAACCCCACCGATGATGCATCTAGAGCAAACTTGCACAACATAACAAACCTTAAGTACTGATGGAGTTTCTCAGGGTTAACCTGGCATTATGTGAGTTGTAGTTTACCCACAACCTTATGCATTTTGTACAATTAAAAATTGACTTTTTCAAATAACCCGGGCAACGTCAGGTATCCAAGCTAGTAAATAATAAATACCAGGGTTACTAATAAGGTCACTCCTTTCCTTATGCTGTTTTTCAAAAATTCATTTACAGTCCCATTTGATTAAAATTTTAAACTGAACTGAAATACAAAGCAGATGCACAAAAAATGCATAGAGAATGGAAATATTAGACATCGACTAATCTTTCCTTCAGTGCAATCTCCATCCCATACAGAATAGCGAATGTGGTTGAATATTCCTCATTCAAAGCTCTTGCCCAATTTGTTCCAAATAAATGAGAAAATTTAAAGAACAGGACAGCTAAGGCACAGTTATTTACACCTGCCTTTTGAAGCTCTATTTTGCCAGTTTCCTCTGTCAAGTTTCCGCATGAAAGGGTTAAGAATCAGCAGACCTCAGAGTTAAAATTCCTGACCTCTTGTGTCGCCCGAAGATCAGCAGACATCCATCAGCTCTTTAACACATGTATCCCCTTGGTGCCAAGCCAGCTTACAACCCTCTGTCCCCTCCAGGAACAAAAAATGATAATAGACTGTTTGAGAAGGATTGGAATTGTAAAATATGGAAATGTGGCATTGGTGCTTATTGTGCGGAGGAGTGGGGAGGACTGTAGGCCCTGTCGCCGCTGTACCCTTATAACCTACCCCTGCTATAGACTACCTTAGACATACATTTTCATGCTGTGCAGTTCCTGGCATTGTAAGTGAGCTTTCAGTTTGTTTCCAAACACAACTGAGAATACTAGTTATGATCAATGCATGGCTTAGGGTCAGACGACAGGTTGAGTATCCGCTTTCTGGAATGCTTGAGATCAGATTTTTGGACTTTTATGTTAAATTTTGGAATACCTACATATACATCATAAATCTCTTGGAGATGGAGCCCAAGTCCAAGCATGAAATCCACTGATGATTCTTACATAGACACCTTATACTAGACATGAGCAATCTACCAGCTGTTAGGAATTGTGGGAGTTGAAGTCCAAAACACCTGGAGGGCCGAAGTTTGTCCATGCCTGCCTTATATACATTGCGTGATGATCAGATTACACATAACAGGGTTTAACAATATTGTGCATGAAACAAAGTTTGTGTACATGAAACCTTCAGAAAGCATATTATCTCAACCACTGAAGTGGATAATTTGGGACTGTGGAGCATTTCAGATTTCCAGATAAGGGATACTCAGCTTGTAACTAAAATAATGTCTTCCTATATGAACCCATCCCAAGTCTTATAAGATACTTTGTGAAGGGCTTTCTCTTTCTAGGTCCCATTATCTCATGACAAAACAGAAGGCTTTCTTGTCAGCTGCTCCCAGGCTCTGGAATTCCATTCCATAGGAGCCTAAAGCTGCCCCAACTCTTTTTACTGGTAGGTAAAGATGTATTTATTTAAATTTGGCCATTAATTGATTGT